AAATGGTACAGAAAATGAGCCAAATGATGCAACAAACGATGAATCAAATGATGTTGCATCAAAGATAATTTATAAAGGCTCTTGAAACAACTACTTAGTTAACCCATAGAAAATCTAGGGAACCGCCCAACAATAAGATTTTAGCAAGGAGAGTCTAGTAGCATGAATCTAAGAAAAAACCCACAAAATAAAAATATTAAGATAGTGAATGCATTAAAGAGTGGGAAGATTTTACTTGATCCTTATCCCCAAACATTAGAAGAAAAGGAAAACATGGACAGCCTAATACAAAATTAAATAGGAGTAAAAGAGGATTTTATAGATTCTACTACGGAAATTCTGAAAAAAAGGACAACCATTCTATTTTCTAAAGCACTAGAGCCTAAACAAATAAAGAAAAAGGAACACAATGAAGAAATAAATTTTTTTTACAAGATGTGCAAATTAATCTTCATTTACTCGCTGCCATTGAACATATTCTTGAGTATGTTAGAATTTTGAAATAAATGTGTACACTAAAAAGGACACAGAGTAGAAAAATTATCTATACATGCTAGTAATTTATTATTAAATCAATTACCATACAAATTGAGAGATATTAGTGTCCCTTGAATTTCGTGTGATATTAGTAGATTTATTTTTCAAAATATATTACTTGACACTAGTGCCAGTATTAATTTATTACCTATAAGTATTTGTAATAAATTTAATATTTTTGATCTTAAATATTCTATTGTAACCTTACAATTTGTTGATAGATCTATAAAACATCTTAAAAGTATTTAAGAAAATGTGATAGTGACAATTAAAGGGTGTAAATTTTCAATTGATTTTGTAGTGCTAGAAATAGATTTTAATGGACAGTTTTATGATACACTAATCATCTTAGGGAGACCATTTTTATATACAACAAAGATGAATATTGATTTTCCCACAAGTATTATGAAAATTTCATGTGAAGATCAATCACTAGAAATTAAATTTTTTGAGGTATCAAATGATCTTAAGAAATCTCAAGTATATGAATGTCATACTATAGATCTTTTAGATGATTTTAATGATCTAGATGTTATTGATGATTGTGTGCTGGAAGAATTAAAAGAAATAAAGAATATAAATTTGAGAGAAAAAAAAGAGAAAGATCATCCAAATTTAGAGTTGAAACCTCTCCCCTCTAGTTTAAAATATAGAATTTTACAGGAAAATTAATTTATTTTCTGATATTATTACAGTTGATTTAAGTGATGAACATAAAGAAGAATTATTAGATATACTTCAAAAAAATAAGAAGGCTATTGACTGGAAAATGGATGATCTTAGGGGCATTGATGAGTGTATGTATGCATAGTATATATCTAGAGGAGAGAGCTAGAACTAATAGAAAACCACAACGAAGATTAAATCTTAGTATGAGGGAAATTATATATAAAAAAAATTAAAGTGGCTAGCTGTTGATATTATTTATCCTATTTCAGATAGCAAATAGGTTAATCCTACACAAGTGGTGCCAAAAAAATTAGGATTCACGATTATAAAAAATAAAAATAGGGATGAAATACAAAAAAGATTAACTACCGGTTGAAGAGTTTGCATTGATTATTTGTAAACTAATGAGCAAGTGTTGGCTGTAAACATGTGGTTGTTCACATACTTCATTGTTGTAGTCATGATGCCATTTCTAAGAGATCTTTCCCTTTGGTAAGTGACATAATTAGAGAAGATATGGCCCTATATATATAGACCATGATGCTTGTTGTCTCAATTTCTAGTAATTATCTAGTGTAACCTAGCGTACATAAATCGTAGGAGAAACATAAAACTGAAGGTCTAGTGGTTTTGGAATGAATTATAAAGAGGAGAAAAGTAAAAGAGGTACCAAATAAAGTACAAGAAGACCAAGTCAAACCTAGTTCGTTGGGCGGAGTATCTTTCTATTCTATTTTAGTTTTTTTGTTCTATTGCTAATGTCTAAGAATATATTTTATTATGTTTTAGAGTCCATTTTCATTTTCAAAGTTTGTTCACTTTTATGGAAATCTCAATTATTTTTAGACCTATATGAAGAATTGTACACTTTAACCTCAAGGTATCTTTAATATTATGAGTTTCTCTTCATTCGAAGTTATCCTCATTCTATTTATGTTTCAAACACTCTTTTTTGTGGATTCTATGAATCTCCTATGATCTTATGCATTCAAAGTTATCTCCCCATTTGGATTCAAGAGTCAAAGTCTTCAACTATGTAGATTTAGGACCTAATTTCTTCATCAAAATGTCTACATTGTGAATTTAAATCTGGATATTCTTTCTCACATCAATGTTATATCATTATCACTACTTAGGTGGATACTATTTAGAGATCAAGTCAAGAAAGTGACTCAATATGTCATTAAATGGATGATATCACTTTATCTCTCTTCTTCCCTAATAAACTCAATTTCAAGGTTGCATAGTCGTTAATCTATTTTGAGTTTATAAAAAATATTTATATTTATTTTTCTTTTACTTATCTATTCTATTATAAGGATAGGGCAAGTAAGGGGTCAATCATCAAGGAATTGGGATTTATATTCTTAATATTGTTTAAGTCTAAAGATAGGTAAAGGCTAAAGAAATAGAACTGGGGGACGAATAATGGAGGAACGAGAACTGAGAAATGTTTTGAATGCACCTACTTAGAACTTAAATGAGCGATTTGAGAGAAAAGAAGGTGACGAGGGATGAGAGATTTAAAGAGATCTTGATCTTCTTGCGAAAGTCAAGATCTCCACAACCTCACAAGGGACAGTGGAACTAAGGTTTGATTCCTTGAGAGATCACAATGTGGACGAGGGGAAGCATCCATAATCTTAATGTTATGGCTCAAAAAGTTTTAAGCTCAGTATCTACCTTGGCACCACTTCTTATTTCTTACTCTGCTTGGATAGCAGGAGACAAAATCCAAACCTCTTGACGTGAAGTGTATATCTTAGGTTTGTATATTTCGCCCAAACCAAGTAGTTTTCTTCGGCAAGAACATGCTTTCAGAAGAACAAAATCTGCAATAGATCACCTCTATTTAGGTTTATCAACCTGGATCTTGGGAGAGCCGTTTCCTACAGCTAGCCTCTACTAGGGCAATCTCCAACATACTGCCAAAAGAAAGGAAAAAAGACGTTTTATACATTGGGGTGCATTTCACAAAAGAACCCTCTCCCATTCTTATTTTCTTCTCGTGACCCTCTCCTTCTTTTGCTTGAGCACCCGTGATATCTTGAGTTCATGGCCAATCTTAGAGAAGGAAGTTGAGGAGATATTGGGCTAGAATAGGTTATGCGTGTTCTACTCTCCTCCTTCAGGCCTTTCTTGGCCCACAATTGGCTGCCTGACTTATTACTTTCAACTTGATAACCTTCAAGCCCTCAAATTGATCACTTAATTAAATTCACCTGATTTCTGCACATCACATACTAAAAAATATGCATCAATAATAACACTATTTGACTTCCAAGAAATCAAACAGGTTAGCCATAAGAAATTAAATTAATAGTGTCCATATATCAACATATTTTCCATCAGAGCTTATAAGGAATCGTTACTCCTATTTATAATTGTACTATGATAACATGATCTTGGTAAAATTTTGAGCTCAGAAGTATATGAAATCATAGATATTATCACTATAATTATCATGTTGTCATTCCCCACCCTCAAGATAAGAAAACATATGAGCCTATTATTCTGTACTGTCAAAGCATCACAACTGCCGAAAAAAATTTCATCACCTCCCCATCATTGGAGAAAGGGCCATTAAGCTCTAGGGCTGAAGAGAGAGAAAAGAGCTGAAAAATGTTTTGTTAATTTGAATGAAAAAATAGATACATCTTGATATACTAAACCTAACCCAAAATACCTACAACATAAATATAAGCATCTAATTAGAAATCACAAAATAAGGAGATATTCCAATAGCTTCTAGCATTCCTCCCTCTAGTTGATGAGTGGATATCATCTAGTCTCAACTTAGATATGAGTCTTTGAAAACTAAGTTTATTTAGTCCTTTGTGAATACATCTACAAGCTAATTTTTAGTTGAAAAAAAGGATGTATAGATGATGCCACTTTCCAATTTCTCCTAAATCAAGTGTCGATATATGTTCACATGCTTAGTTCAATCATGAGCCATGTTGATGGCTGATTTATTGTCACAATATAGTTTGATTGGTCTGTGACACTTGATTCTCAAGTCTTCTAGAATACATTTCAGATTGCCGTCAAAAAAGTTACTATAACCTGAAGTAGATTTTCAGTCAATGATAAAACCTACATAATCAATGTTAGTGTAAACTTCAACATTTTACTCTTAAATAATCTAAATCCATCTCATCCTTTTTAGGCATTACACTCTTAGTCACTAAATGACCATCTTATCTCTACCCTCTATTTAGTAAACTATGTGAGCAAGATAGTGATAGACATATCATCATCATGATGTTGAAAGATAGAGTGAAGGTAAAACCTAGTTATACAAACTTGGACGTCAAACTTTGTAAGGTTTGTTGGGTTTGATTTGGTTAATTTCCTATATTTTTATATGGAATAGCCACCTTTCTAATATTGGATGATTAAAACCCATGATAAGTCGGATTTATTTTATTATATTTCAAGCACCCTACGCCTGGTGGTTTTTCTAAGTCTGTCCATTCCGAGCTTGCTTCTGCCTGTGGATTTGAGCCTTTAATTTAATTTCTAAATTCTTGCTTCTTGATTTTTCTGATATTTCTTGTGAGATCTGCAGTGTTTTCTCCCACATCCTTAGAATCATTTGCGTCTCTCTCTCTCTCTCTCTCTCTCTCTCTCTCTCTCTCTTCGATCTGTCTATATCTTGTCGCGCGCATATCTAGGTCGCATTCTGTTGAACACTGCGAAGTGCATGAGCAACAATCAGGCTTGGTGTTTTCCTTTATAGCAGAGAGAGGGAAGCAGGCAGAGAGAGGCAGAGAGAGAGAAGTCAGGCGGTGATGGAGTTGTTCACCTCGGACGAGGCAGTGATGACGTTCGTGCCGGTAGCGGTGTATTGGCTGCACTCGGGGCTGTACGAGGTTTACGCGGCTGCGCTGGAGAAGTACCGACTGCACCCGATGAAGGAGGACGCAAGGAACCGCGTCTCCAAACTGGATGTCGTCAGGGGCGTTCTCCTTCAGCAGGCTCTTCAGACTGCCATCTCCTTGTTCTTGTTCAAGGTCTATCCCTTTCTCTTCGCTCTCTCGTTTCTCTTGTACCGCTGCTTCTGTTTCCTCTGTTAGTATTTAATGCAAAAAATATTTCTCGTTTTTCTTTGTCTGTATTAGGTCCTTTTTTTTGTCTTTGAGTGGGCTAAAGTCGTCGTGTGTTCTGGTGGGCCATAAGTGGCCAGTCCTGTGTGGCTATAAATACTCTTCTCTCTCTCTCATTTTATATAGAATTTTCATTTCGTCCTTTTTTAGGGTTCGTGAGAGCACGAACCGTCTCCTCTCTTACTCTCTCTCCCATCTATTTTCTCTCCCAAGCGATTGCTTCTCTTGCAGGTTTATTCCGCTATTTTTCCTACAAGCTCCTTCTCCCTCTTCCTCTCTCTCTCTCTCTCTCTCTCTCTCTCTCTCTCTCTGTCTCGTTCTGCATGTACTTATTCCCCTCTCTCTTATTTATTCACTCGTTCTCGTACGTATGATCGTGTTTCTCTCTCTTTCACTTCCCATTTCCTATCTCTCTCTCCGTCTCTTATTTCTTTATTCTTCTCATATGAATAGCTGACTGGGGAGGGCATCAAGCCGGCTGAGGAACCGGGAACTTGTTCCCTTGTGTCCACCACGAGGCAGTTCTTCGTCACCGCCGTCGTCATGGATCCGTGGCAGTATCTGATGCACCACCAGATGCACCGGAGCCTATTCCTCTACAAGCACGTCCACTCCCGCCACCACCGCCTGGTAGTCACCTACGCCTTCGGTGCCCAGTACAACCACCGCGTCGACGGCCTTCTCATCGAGACCGCCTCCGGCACCGCCGCCTTCCTCGTCTCCGGCATGTGGCGCGGGCGTCGGCGGCTTTCTTCGCCTTCAGCACCGTCAAGGGAGTTGACGACCACTGGGGCTACCTCCTCCCCTGGAACTCCTACATCCTCTTCCGCAACAACGCCGCCTACCATGATGTCAACCACCAGCTCGCCGGCGGCAATTGCAACCTCTCACAGCCATTCTTCACCGTGTGGGACCGCCTCTTCGGGACCTACGTCCCCTACTCCGTCGAGGAGAGGCCCGCCGGTGGGTTCTTGGCCAAGTCTGCACCCAGGGGCTTCCCGTTCTGTCCGTCTTTCACGTCGAGGTTGACCCTGTTAAATCGTTACTAAGTATGTGACACTATTTCCAGAGCTCTACATCTTTCTCGAGACTCCGAGAGAGAGAGACGGTGGGAGAAAGAGAGGGGAACAGATAAAGAGAGCAAGGGAGGAAGAGAGAAAGCAGAAGAGAGCGGGGAACTGGGATAGTAATCAGAGGAGAGTAGAATAAGGGGGACAGAGCGAGCGAGCGAGAGAGAGAGCGAGAGAGAGAACAGATAGGGTCTTTCAACTTCAATACAAAAGCACTCCAAAACACGTAATGGGCTGACTATGGCTATAAACTGCGAGAACCGAAACATAAGAAAGAAAATGGCCCATATTTATTTAGGCCGAAGTGAGCCGAGGGAAGACCGAGCTATCAGTAGGACCCATATTTATTATCGACGAATCTTTCATTGCGATGAACCCTTGCCGACCTAGCAGAGGACCGGATAATCGACCGGGCCGGGGGCACGTGGTCCAGGGGGGCCTAATTTTAATCCACAACGTTAAACATTATGTCGACATCATTGACAATTGTTGAGCTTAATTGCCAGCTCAACCCACGTTTAACCTTAGGAAGACCAGCTCAACCAACCTCTCTCTCTCTAAAATGATGATGTGACCAAGTGAGTACATGAGGGTATGCGATAAGAAAGTATATTTGTCGTCATACCTTATGATATGTATCACGGGGTTACAGTGTTAAAATAGTAAGAAAGGACCCGAATGAGCTGGATAAAGCTGGGTGTATTTTGAGTAGTGAATAATTTGCACCCCCTCCACTTCCACCACAGATACCTCCAGCTAAATTTTTGAAGCATCAGATTAGGCGCAAATGTTGTCAGCAAGGGTGGCTCTCTTCACACTAGTGAAAACCTTCTCTTAATTACAGTTCCGAACTCTTTTCCCTCCAATGATGGCTTGCCTTCTCTGAGTTCGCCCAAAAGATTGTTATATATTACACAAAAAATTAAACAATTACATTCATTTTTTCTAAGATAATACATTTAGAGGGGCTATCATTAGTTTAACCTCGCTTAAAGTGATTCACCAAAGTTTCAATATTTGAGATTATGACATCTCACATAAGTATGAGCATAAATATAAATGTGTAGATGCATGTCCTATTCTAGTTTTATAATGAGCTAAATTAGAAAAAGACATCAATGAGTAGATCATCCTTTAGTTATCAATATGAGGTCATGGTCCTTGGGTCATAGTGAAGAGTAACTCTCAAAGCATCTCATCTCTTTAACCCTAATCTTTGGCTTTTATAGATTAAGGTATAATTTATTTATTCATTCTCATTTGATTTTATTATTATCATTCTCTATTAGCTCAAAACTAAATCTTTGATTTTCATAGAGGTATCAAAAGTTGTTGTTTTGAGTCTTTGATAATAATATGTTATTCATGTTTTTATTTATCTTAATATCATTTTGATCCCTTCCCTTGAGAATGAATCATAGATTAAGTCGGATGACCACCAAATGGATTGAGGTGGGTTTAGACATCCGAATGCCTTATAGATCGTACAGGCGTCCTCGGTGGCAAACCATTAGATTCTGGGCTTACCATGGATGGACTACTGGGCTCCTGGACCATCAACCCCTCTTCTTTTCCTGCGGAGGAGCAGTGGTTTCTGCACACCTCTCTCTCTCTCTCTCCTTTCCCTAAAGGAAGATAAATATGGGGCTGCAGAAGGAACTTGCCTTTTCCCCTATCTTCTTTCTGGTCGTCGGACGGGAGTGCGGAGAGCAAAGGACGGCGACTCCGGATGTCTAGACGTTGGAGGGTTCCGGAAGGCAAAGAGGAGGCACTAGACGGCGGCGGAGCAGCAATGCCATAAGGTGGCGCCTGCGACGGTGGGCCGCGGCAGCTTCCGCATGCCCTTTCCCTGTTTCACCGCTTCCCCATTTCTATTCTCCGCCTCGCCGAAGGACGGTTTCCGGTCATTCCGAAAACCAATGGAGGAACGTGGGGCAACGGAAGGAGAATCCGCTGCTTTCCCCGTTTCTAGTGGGCGCCCATTTAGGGCCGACAGTTCAAGGCGTAACGCAACTCGACCGGCTCTTCCCTTCCCCGCGTCAGTTTAGGGGGAGAGAATGGGCCGTGCGCGCCGGGCATGTTACTATCCAGAGTGCGTGAGATTGACTTTGAGTTATTTCTTATTTGGATACATGCAAGTTTTCTATAGATGATCTTTGAAGCTTTCTTTAAAAGATTGGTGATACTTCATCAATGATATTACTTTTAACACAGTTGATGTTTGTTATTTTGCTTCTTCAGTTTCTTCATATAAGACTTTGATGTGTATACAAGTTACATGGTGAAGAGTTTTCCTTTTCTTTGATGATGTCATGCAAATGGTCTAACTCAGCTATCATTTAGTACTGAAGGTTGAATCTTTCTACAGTCACTAATCTTGTGATTTTGCTTTGAATATTTGATCAACTTTCTATGTGTCACTATATTGATCTCGAATTCAAATTTCATCTATACTTCGGTTTGCATGATATTTGAATATTTTAATTATCACTTTTCTTGCCTTTGTGTAGCTTATTTTTTGAGTTTGAATCGCATGTTTGATTTTGTGTTTCTTTAATTTTCTAGACATTTACCATGTTAATGCTTCTATCTTTACAATGCTTCGTTGTGGCATTCAAATATTGGGGGTAACTTTACTTTTTAACAAATACATGCTTATGTTTCAAGAATATTATGTGGTATTATTTTAATATAGAAAGATATCTTAAGGGTGTTACTCTTTAGATTTGTTATTAGTCATAAGATTGAGTTGAACATCATCAAGATATATGATTTGAATATTTGTCAAAGATATTTAACTTGTGATGTAAACTATCATGATTTATATTGGCAATTCAATGAATATTTAATAACTTATTAAAGAAAAAATTATAAATAAAATTTTCAATATAAGTATTGAAACCAAGGACATCTTAGGGTTGTTCATAGGAGTATTAGTGAAGAAATTAACATTTATTTCTACTATATCAACTACTCAATAAGGCTAAATCCTCATTGTGTGTTGGCCTCTTGATTTCTTTCCACTATTTTACTCTAAGTCTTGCTAGAGAGGGAGATGTGCCCACATGCAACCTCGTTAGGTAGTATGTTCTTTGAAAGTAGTGTTTATTCACTTTGGCGAAATAGATAACTAGATACATGGGAAGAGAAAGAGAAAGAGGCTTTCACTCTTTAGTTTTAAGTTCTTGATATTCAAAGTAAAGTTAGGACAAGGAGGGGAAATGCCCTACAGCACAAGGAACCAAACCTTCTATCCTTGAAGTCATGTTCCCAATAAAAAATATGATTGTCTATATGAGAAGTTAAGTCATGGTTGATGATGAATGATGGAAAACAAAGATTTAGTATTAAGTCAATATAGAATTATAAGAACTAAGAAAGCTTTTAGTTATTTGATAAATTTTAAATTAAATCTTATAACTTCAAAAAAAATCAATCCTTTCATTTTTTGTCACCCTAGGATGAGAAGAGAGAATACAAGTAATTAAAATATGAGTTGTAAGTAAATTCATAATGACAAACATTAAGAACATAAACTAATGTTTCACCTTTTCTTTGTCTGTCACTCAAGAAAATGAGAAGAACAAAATACTTAGATTAATTGAATTCGAAAATAAGGTCTCTCTTATTAGTGTTTGTCACCCAAAGATATGAATGTGTAAATAACTTTATTGAAAGGTTGTCTCTCTCCATTATGCCCTAAGACAACCTAAGTGGTGAGTGAAGAAAGATTAGACTACGACATAAGGTGTTGAGAGTCAAAATCTACTAATGGAGGATGTTTTTAACTAAGAACTGAAATCTGCCTATGGAGGCATGTGGTGTTGCAAGTCAAGACCTATTCACAAGGGGTGAGATCTTTGTAGAAATCAATCAGTGATATCTAAAAGAGCCAAACTCGTAAAGTCAATTATATTTTTAAAAGAAAAAGTTAAATATGGTAAGAGAATCCTCTAGGATTGAGTGCTGCCCAAAGAAGGGTGAACCAATATAAAAATCTTTATCTTTCATAATTATCAGTGAGAAATAAGGCTAAAGTGACCCCCTGAAGAAAAGAAGAGATTTAAGTAAATTTATATATAGATTTAGTAGATAATGTTATAATGTGCGTCAACACATATACACGCAAGTAGAACATTAAACATTCGGCGACAATCCCAATAAGAATATATTAAGTGAGCCAATGAAGACTGCGGGGAGAGCGAGGAATTACCAGTCAGGGAACGACTTTGCCTGGTCAGACTCTGATCATGATCCACAGGTGGCAAGAGAGAAGGGGGAGCAAACCGAAGGAGACTATCTGGGGTCAGCGGACGACGATCTAGTCGTAGACGTCCTCCAGCAAGCAGGGTAATGGCACTGGCATCGGTCAGGATGGTACAGCCAGGATGACGGCACGTGGACGATCCAGACCGGTAGGATGGCAGTGTAGGGGAGGGAGAAGGCAGTCAATTGAGAGACGGAGGCGGAGGAGGGGACAGTGGCGGCAGCGGTGTTGGTGTTCGTGGTGGTGGCAAGGAAGAGGGTGGTGGCAGCAGCGGTGAAGGCGGTGGCAGAGGTGGTGGCATGGTGGTAATGGTGTAACTCCAACCAGGAGCAATGGGGTCCTATCAACCAACCCTACCGGTGCGACGGGGTCTTCTCGACTAACCCTAACGGGCGGGTGGTCTTGACCAGCCCTACGGGGGTGACGAGGTCTAGCGACCAACTCCTGCGAGGAGCGAAAGGGTGGCAAAACTATCTGCCTCGTGGGCGATTGATTGAGCCTTATAACGGCTTACATGAAAAAAAAACAAACAATAAACTCAAAAAGCCCACAAAGGGAACTGAGCTCACTTCTAGTAAATGAGCACACCGGAGTCGGGACGGGTGCACTTATGCCTGGATTTACGATGGGCCACATGAGACTGGGCCGAGCTCGGCTCACCTGCTGGGTTTTGTCCTGCATCTGAGAGAGAGAGAGAGAGAGAAGACAAAGCAAGGAAGAAGGGGGGGGGAGGGGGGTTGAGTTGAACACCTCAAAAGTCGGTGAGCATGGTTGGAGGAGCCTCATTTATTTTATCACATGATATAATGAATCGCTTTACTGGTGAGACCTATACAACTTCTTAAATGTTGACTGCTTTTCTAAGATAAGTGAGGCGGACAACTTATCCGTATTCATAACCTACAACCATGGTCCTACAAGTTAATCCTGTCTCACAAAAATATCTCAACAAATCACCTGCTTGATCAACCTTAAATTAAATTCGGTCTCTATATTTGACTTGTTAATTTCACCCTTACCCACATGAAGAGAACTGTCATTGAAGGTCCTGAGGAAGTCAACCCCCCAGCTGTTCTTGATGGGTCAAGATCCCCAGAAATTTTTGTTTATTTTATTTTAAATAAACTCATTTATTTACGTAAAATGGATTATTTAATGAAAACTCTGGATGAGTTAAGGGGAATATTTTTTCTTGAATATCATTGTAAGAAAAATGAGCTATTGTCTTTTGCTGATCTCTCTCAGCCAATGGCCCATGTGCAGCATGCAACGTGTCAACCATCTATTGGTCAACATCTGATTGTCATGGATCCATTTGCTAAGATTGGTTATTGTTGTAACAATGCAAGGTTTGTGACCGATCTAAATCAAAGTCAATGTGCAGCCCACTTCATTTTATAACCCAAACCATAAAGGCTTGGTGCCATGCTTTACTCTATGCGCCTATATGATGAATCAAACTAGAGTTGTGAATCAAGTGAAGGTCAGTTGCCAAATGATGTTCAACCTTTGTACTAGTTGGGCATAGGGAAACTCAAATAAAGTATCTTTAAATCACATAGTTGGTTTGGAGGGTCAAACCATCATAAATCATACATCTATCTTGCTTGATCCTTTCAATTATCCATAGAAAGTTGACTCGCTTAGATTGTAGTGTTCCTCAATAATGCATCAATCTCCCTTTTATCTTAACTAATTAAAAAATATAAAGGTGTATTGACTTCCAACTCCCTCCCTCAATCTTAGTTCATTTCTGGCCCCAACATACCAAACACTATTGAAATTTTAGGGGGAATGGAAAGAGAAGATAAAATAATAATAATAATTTAATGTTAGAGAATAAGTAATTGAGTATTGTTTGTAAGAATTAGACTTGAAACTAGGTAGAACTTTCAAAGGATTCATTGGTGACCAAATGAAAATGGGTAGTCTCGGAAAACAAAAGTAACATATGGAAGGGAATTGGCAAAAGCCAAGAGTTAGAGATAAATAAAGAGACAATTATAAGGAAATATTATGTCATGTAGTGGAGCACTGTTCAATTGGATTTTCCTAGAAATGATGTTGATGTGAGATTAGAAATCCTAACTCAATGTAAAACTTGAATTTTGGCCTAAAAATTTAAATGAAGAGATGTAAATGCGACAAGTATTAGAGTTAATTGTGTTATAGTATTAGTGTTAATTGTGAATCAATGTTCTTTATATTTGGTCCGTTGGCTCACTTATTGCAAAGAAGTGAAATTTTATTTTGTAGTCAACTAATCCTAAATGTTTAATAAACTTTGGTGAAGTTAAGATAATCTATTGGTAATAAATTAGTAGTCAAGTAGCACAGTATTCATATAAAATGACTATTTTTTCCTTTTAGTATCTTAATGAGTGTGTAAACTTTTAGTATCAAATGTGTTTGCGCATGACTCATGTTTTCTGAAAATAGGAAAAACCACAAGATGACTTACAAAACTTTGCAAGGTTAATTTTTTTTTTCCAATATTTTTATAATTATTCAGGCTATATCAGATAATAAAAAGTAACTATTTTAACCTTGTATGTATTTATGCAATGTTAAAATTAAGAATTCTTCAAAAACTATTTACTTATACTTCCGTTTATATAGTAAAATATCTCAACCCCTTATTTAGGTGTCTTTTATATCATGTAGAGAGAGAGAGAGAGAGAGCGGCTAAGATAAGGGTGATCGTAGGATACCGACACAAAGAATGTGGGAGATGTGGGAGGATGGCCTATGTCGCTTGAGAAAAGAGGGCCTTCAGGCCGCCAACTCAGAAGTCAGCGACGAAGATGAGCCTTAATATTAGCGCCGTAGTTTACTCTCCAAGGAAGTTGTGACACTTCGGCGAGAATACATGTGATGGTTGGCCTAGGCCCTCATCTACCCCTTCTTCCTACGGCAGCGACGTGGCTCCATCTCCGCAGCCGCGGATACCAGTGGACGACTTGAAGCCCTCCCGTCGCCACGCTTCCCACGAACGGGTAGGCGCGTTATCCCCCGTCTGCCCCCCCATTTTCCCACCCCTTCCCCTCCTTCCTTTCCCAGTGTTTGACGAGCACGGCTTCCTGAGGCCCCCTTGAGACTTTACATCTTTGTGCAAACAAAGAAAAAACAGAGTTCATCTCAAGGATGTATACAAGAAACGTCTCAATTACAACCCTTGTGAAAGCATTTACATTAATCGCCACACGGCGGTGAGGAGCGGCCGTCAGACGACGGGCAAGAACAACCAAAAAAAGAAAAAAAGAAAAAAGAGCCAGACCTCGTCCCTGCTAGTCCTTGGCGGGCCGAGCCTCGAGGCCTCCCTCCTTCCTCCTCTCCAGCTTGTAGGGCATGTGGGTCCCGAGGATCCGGTCCCAGGCGACGAAGAAGGGCTGTGAGAAGTTGTACTTGTTGCCGTAGAGCTGGTGGTGGATGTCGTGGTAGGCGCTGTTGTTGCCGAAGAGCATGTGGAAGACGTTCCCCGGGAGGCACATCCCGCAGTGGTCGTCCACGGTCTTGACGGTGGCGAAGGAGAAGAAGAAGATGCCCGTTCGGGGGCTCATGCCGGAGGCGAGGAAGGAGATGGCCCCGCCGATGGTGTCGAGCAGGAGGCCCTCCAATGGGTGGTTGTAGAGTGCCCCGAAGGCGTAGGGGACGACCAGCATGTGGTGCTTGGAGTGGACGTGCTTGTACAGGAACTTGTTGATGTGCATATACCTGTGCATGAAGTACTGCCAGGTGTCCAGAACTAACATCGCCACCACCATCTGGGCGAGAACCACCAGCAGGGGCGGCTGCGGCCTGGCCGTCTGGCTGTCGTCCTTCACCAGCTACAGAGAGGAGCAGAGAGAAATCAGCTTCAGAGACCTTCAAAACACGGAACGCTCTGGGAATTCCAGCTCCACCCCGGGAGATGAATTCCATTTGAGAGAAAGAACTGGTAAGGGGGATAGATTCGAAAGAAACTAGAATGAAAGGAAAATGCGAGATTTGTGCATAGAAATTTGAGCTTTCAGAGGAAGAATGGGTCCAGATGATAAATTTCAAAACTAGATGACAAAGAAAATTCCCGAGATTGATGGCGAGTAGTTGTGCGGACAGAAAGGACAGTAAAGCAACGCATTCCAATACTGGAATGCAAAAAAAGTTTCCAAGAGCACCAGTGAGAAGTTTCGCGAGAAGAAATAAATGACAGAAAGAACGGGAATTAGACAACGAATTCCAAACCTAGAATGCAGTAACAGCCCACGTCAGTATCAGAGATGGAATCACAAGAGAGAAGGCCAGGAGGTCCAAGAACAGGAATAGCGCCAATAAAGAGATAAATCCAAAAGACAATCCCAAGAGCCTTACACAGCATGTCACATGCATATTCCTGACGTAATCAAGAGTATTGAACAGCTTAGGCATGAGAAACATCGGTGGTTTATTTTATTGTCTCTCTTGTAATAAGTTGGGGCAATGGCCTTCCCTTTGGGAGGGGGGGGGGGGCTAATTTGACTCCTTGGAGTTACTTGCCGACCAAATATCCTCCCTTATTTCGAGAGAGGCCCTACCCAATTTTGCGGGAGCTTCGCATGTGAGTAAGGTTCCCTGGTTCAAGATTTTCTTGCCCTCTCCGAGTTTTCTAGTCCTTTACTTCTTGGGGAATTGGCCTGCCACTACCACTTTACACAGGTTGCCCAGAAACTGAGTGCCCCCCATCCCAACTTCCTCCCAAAGCATAAACCACGAAAATTATTTATTATAGATATACACATCTTTCACAGAGACCAGGACGTGTCATGCCAGTAGACATCTAAGTTGTTCTTGGGGGGCATTTGTTACTTTTATAGAAGGAAATATGTGTTACATCACTCTCGGATGCCCAAATGGTGTATAATACTATCTTACAGAGCCACATAAAAAATCATGTGGGTAGGGATCGAACGTGCCCTTTAAAGAAGAAGATGGCCTGATCTCCCCATGAAATACCTGTTGCATCATCCTCAGAGACCTAAAAAAAGTCATGTGGGTAGGTATTCGTGAAATGCATGGATACGTGAATGCCATAGATCATTCCAAGAAACCCAGAAAAAGGGATGGGGTCGGTAGCAAAGCTATCCATGGAAGCTGAAGGAGTTCAACTTTACACAAGGAAAATCCAAATAAGAAAAACTCAACCTCATAGGACGGGTGCATGAAGTTATGTTCCAAAAATCCAAAGTAAGCAAATTGAGCAAGTAAATAACTTCATATTGGACAATCTTAGGCAGGAATACTGATAATCATTGCCTCCCCTAATAAGAGGATGAGGAGAAAGATCAATTAAAGAATGAGGGGAAGAAGAGATGATTACCGCAAACAGACAAAGAGCGACGACGATCTGGAATGCCTGCTGAACGAGAACGCCCTTCACCACTTGCAGCTTGGAGACGATGTTCTTTGCCTCTTCGCTTCTCGGGTGAAGACGATACTCGCCTGAGGAATCCAAATTCCCCAAAATAACGTACAATCCAGAGTACAGCCAGTAGACGATAATGGGGACGAAGGTGCCCAGCAGCTCATCGGAAAGGACGAGCTCCATCGTAGGCGTAATTTGAAAAGAAGCCTGTCCTGATCCAAGGTCAGCACCTGGCCTTCAGCTCGCCCAACAACTTTCTGCAAGATTTGCCCTCCAATTAGGTCGGTCAAACTCTACCGGATGCCGATTAATATGCTCAAATACCCTGTAAAAGCAATCCCACCCCTTTGTCTACAGATTTTCCATGACTAAATAGCTGTAAAGAGTTTTTTGGGACAGAAAACACTGATCCGCTTTTGATTCTCCAAAGGAGAAAAGTGGAAGCAGAGAGGTATACACGCACATGTACATCTATGTATATATACATATATATAGAGAGAGAGATAGGTAGATAAGAGAAAGAGAGAGTGAGCATGAAACCCGAGGGAGAATGAATAATTCCCAAGAGACCCAACAATAATGGAGGCAGGTTCATACTGGTTTCCAAGCAACCACACAAGGGCTTATCAATTAACCACACGGATGTCTGCAATTGAGAGAATCACCCAATCTGTACAGACGAATTAAAAAAAAAAAACTAGAAGCTGCACATCAATTTTTCAGATGAAATCGAAGTGGGCGAAACCCGCATGGCAAAGATAGAACTCAAAGGAGGGGGGAGGAGAAGTGTTACAAGGGTTTCTCACATTACCCTGAACACTCCCGTAGATGGATCGACGCGATTGGGGCCCCTCACCAAAACCCCTATTTCCTTATGGCTTCCTGCAAAACAACTTTCCCCCCCGCCCCCGAACGAGAAGGTGGAAGAAGAGGGGAGAATCCCGTGGCAAAGAGATGCTCTCGCGTGACTGGCTGGAAGCTTTGAAGCCAGAGAGATAAATAGACGTGCTGGCGTAGGAGACTGGGGAAGGCCAGCCTTCTCTTCCTCCGTCCCTTTCTACAACGTCAGCGCGAAGAGAGAGAGAGGAACAGGGGGGGGGGTCCGGCTTAACACACAGAGAGAGAGAGAGAGAGAGAGAGACAGACAGACAGAGCGAATTGTTGAATGGGCCGGGCGGTTCGTAATGGGCTGTGGCCCCACTAGCAACGAGGACTAGTACAGTCGGGCCCACCACGCCCACCGCACACGCAGACAACTTCCAGACGGCATATCTCTCACTGAAGCTTCCGGGAGATAAGATCTTAGGAATGCATGCCAGAATGCATTCCACGTAATCGGTTTTCTCGGTCAATTTTATTTTTGTCAGGGAAGATTCAGGAAGAAAATAAAATATGCGGGGGAGGCTTCGTTTCCATCTCCCAAGGTTTCTTTATTTTCTTGGAATATAATACAACATATTTATTCAAAAAGTATTTCGTCATCTTTACCGGCACAGCTAAGTATATCGATGGGCCACGCTCCTCAGGCCCAAAAACAGAATTCGATTCGGCCCAGAAACTTGGAGCCTGGTTTTGAATTACCATACTCTTTACGTTTTGACTTCAAAAATCAAGCTGATGATAAATAAAAAAACTATAACTATTCTCTCTTCGCGGCCATTCTCGGTGGTTGTTGTTGGGCCTTGCCTAATGCTTCGAGTTGGGCTGACACCCAACTCTCCAATAGAGAGAGAGAGAGAGAGAGAGAGAGAGAGAGAGAGAGAGAGAGAGAGAGAGAGATCTTTCTTCCGATTTATCTTCCTCGCTTAAAATTTTGAGAGATGCCGACCTTATTATTTATCTTCGTTTCAGGATTATCCTGAATCCAATAATATTTTTAATGGTCTTATCTTGATTTTATTTTCCGCATAATGCGAAACGTAACTATTGAAAACTTAAATTAAATGGTAATAAGTGATGGTAAAATAGTAGTTTGAATGAAGAAATATATTGCGACGCTTTTCTATGATCCCGTATATTGAGGGCTGCGAGTCGCCGGATCAGATCATATGGGGACTCAACGAGGCCCGTAGTTGGTGGCGTTAATGTTATCAGTATTTTTCTCGATTTTAGGGCTTCCTTCTCATGTCGTTCGAAGGAAATATTTGAGGGGGGGGGGTTGCGTTGCAATCAGACCGGAGAGCCTCCGGACCGACTCGGGTTCATTTCATCATTCCATTCTGTTCTCTGCTCCGAATTTGAATGTTCGCCGACGTTCTCTGCCGATTGAAGCTCTGAAATCGATGCGATCGAAGGGATGGGGAATTGGTCGAGAATTATGCCCAGGTTTGAAATGGACGGTCATCACTTCCCCGTTGGGGGATCCCTCGGGAGGGGATGACGGGCGGAAATCGTTCCCCAAGGTAGAACAATAAGCGGAATTCTATCCCAATCCGGCTCGCCGAAATCTTTGGAACTCACTCCGGAGAGAGAAATTTGATAAAACTCAGGCTACGGGAAGAATGGTAATTATCTGGAGAAAATTAATACATCCCCCGATAGTACACTACAGATAAATAAATACGTCCACGTAGAGATTGATTTCTCGAAGTAGCAACTTATGGTTTATTTTCTCCGTTTCGATTGGGAAAAGACAAATTTCTGATCATTTCCCCCCTGGTTTTCCATCCATTCCATGATTTTCCCCCTAAACAAGGAACATCATTTTCCCGTTACTCGCGATTGAGCAAAAGTTTATGTTAATAACGTCGTTTGGTGTCTCTAATTGAGTCTTCCCTCCAGATTGAAGCCCAGATACTCCTCTGGATCTTTATTTCAATATTTATGAAATCATAGAGATTACTGTTATAGGGGGAATTGATTAATTCTCCGCTCAACTCCGGGAGATTTTCCCGGATGAATCTCCAGGGTCCATCTCGTCCGGTTCTTCAATCGGAGCTTCAGAGATTCTTTGCACGACCATTTTTGGTCTTGTCATGGCCCTGAAAGCCAGGCATTCGTCATCGTCATCATCACTACCGCTTTGGATCGCGAATTCCTCCTAACCTAGAACACGTTCCATCTCTCTGATAGCTGACTGAGGAAGAGCCTCCGGTTTGAGGGCAGCTACTCGAGGACAGCCACGTCTCTTCAACCCCAGTCCAAAGTTTCAATCTTTAGTGTATGTGCGTGTGTGTGTGTGTGAGAGAGAGAGAGAGGGTTCTGGGTATTGTCAATCGTCGCAGGAGAAGAGGGCCCCAAACTTCAAGCGCTCCTCTTCTCCTTTGTCTTGATGTAAATTACCATCATTCTCTCTCTCTCCCTCGCCTCGTTCCTTTTACTCTCTCTCTCTCTCGGAGAAGCTTACGGAGGGGCCAATCGAAACAGACACAGGAATCGATGGGCAGAGAGATGAGGAAATAAAGGGGGACGGAGACCGCATAGATAATCGGGAAGAAAAACTAAAGAGAAAGAGAGGGAGGGGAGGGGGATAATCCGTCGTGGGTAGTAAGTAGTACTTGAATCTTTGAATGGAGGCTGACAGAGAAGAGGAAAGCGCAAAGAAGCGTCGGTTACAGCGTCCACGGTTATTCAAAGCCGGGGGACTCGTAAAGCAGGTGTTACCCCTCGCTTTAGGGAGAGAAACTGGGGAAATTGGCATTTGGGACTTCCCTAGACTAGCACCTCCAATCCCTTTATTCATGCCCGTCAGAACCTTCGAAAATAGCCTTAGAATTCCTCCCCTCAGCATGCATATGATTGACGTCGATCCTCTCTCTCTCTCTCTCCCCTTTTCCCGAGCTGTTGTTATATCGACTGAGAAGAAAGGCTCTTCCCTCCTCGCCTCAACTCTCTCGTCTTTCCCCTTCCCCACAGGTTCCCTCCTCGCCATGGCTGCTCCTTCTCCCAGGTTGCTGTTGCTCGCGGTGGCCTTGGTCACCTGCCTCGCTCTCCAGCGGGGAGAGGCCTCCGGCCTGAGGAGACTGGGCTTTGCGGCAGAGTGGAGCCGACGGACTCTGCATGGCGCCGACGCCGTCGTCCTCATGGTGGCGCCACCGCCGGCGGCATCGCCGGCGCCGGCGGGACTCTCCTTCGACCTCGATCACGCCTGCAAGAGAAGGGTCCGACGAGGGTCGGACCCCATCCACAACCGGTGCTGATAGGGCGGGTCTTCGTCGAGGAGTTCTCCAAGTTAGCGGTAGGTTTGACGCTGAAGATGGCAAGGATCTGCAGCAGCATTCGAAGGTCCCTGCCGGTAGAAGTTCTGCCGCATTCGCCGTGTGGATATAACCATAACCATGGATTGGCTCTCCAAATGGCGGCGAACATGACGGAGATCGCTGCATAGATTGTTTCCTCTCCTTCTCGAGAGAGGAAGAGGGTACACACACTACAATTTCAGGCTCTTATTAACTTCAAATTTATTTTAAATTCTTCATGAATACTCCGCCATTTCCTCTCCCCGTCGTCTTCTCCCTCCCTTCTTCAGGGCCGTTTTTCTTCTTCAAACTGTCCACAAATACTTAATGGGCCGGGCCTCTTGAACGGGCCTGCTCGAACTTGCTGGGCTCCATTCCGAACCCTGCAAGTAGATTAAGAAATATTGAAGTTCGTTTCCTCGCCGAGATTGCTTATTAAGATGAAAAAATAAATGATATAGTATATTTTCCTCATAATTTAACATATTAATGGCATATGTTTATATTCTCTTCTTCTATTTTTAAATATTTTTCAAAGATTACTCACCTGCTATCGTATCTGTTTATCTTATGTCCCTGGACCAACTTTCCTGTTTAAATAATCTAATTCGCCTGATCTACTAGGCGAATTACCAGGAGGTGTTGTATGGCCCGCGCGATTTGAGACTGTCTTACGGTAAATGCAGTATGAGGGATATATATATGTGTGTGTTAATAAGTTGTACGTAATGAAGCAGCGTACTGGTGCGGGGGATAGCAGATGGCGCAGAGAAACATAGAACAAGATAAGACCAACAGGTAGGATTTAGCCCAGGGTGAGGTCATCCAAGCGATAACCACCCACTTAATCCGGTAGGCAACCTGACAGAGGCGGGCCCCTCACAGCGCAATCCCTCTCTCTCGGAGGAGAGGAGGTGGAGATGGTGGGAAGAGGCTGGGGCAGTCAGGGGCACTTGGGGCCGCCGCGCTTGGTCTTCCAGTTGTTGTAGCAGGGGCAGAGGCCCTTGTTGCCGTAGAAGCCGGGGGGCACGCAGAGGCACTTGGCGCAGCACTTGTTGCAGAAGAAGAGGCACGGCTTCTTGTATTGCGTCCTCGCGCACCTCCTCGAGCACTGTCCACCGCACTCTGTCCGCCACGAACGAGGAATGAGAAAAAAGCTCAGGGTTAGGGAGTTAGAGAGAGAGAGAGCGGCCGGTTTTCTCTTCCACCGGTGGGCGGGTTGGTCACCGATGGTCCTAGATTTAGACAAAGACATTGAGTGCTTTCAGGCGGGCCATGGAGTTTCGCACCGGCCACCGACTGTAGTAGCTTAGAGCGTCGAGATGGAAAGAAAATGAGACAGAAGGGCTTCACATGTTAGTGTAGAGTAACTTTTACAAATGGGTAGAGCGCGAGAGAGAGAAAAAGGAGAGCTTTACATGGGCCACCGAGAGTCGCTTTAGGGTTTAGATATCTAGACAGTATAAAATTGTATGTCGAGAGAAAAAGTGAGCGAGAGAGAGAGAGAGAGATGGGGGGAGGTGAACTTACGGAATGTCTTCAGGCTTCCCCGTCCATAACCCCCAGCCTGAAAGAGAATGAGAAGAGATTCAGCCACCGACGACAGATGGGTCGAGTGGAGCAACCGAAGAAATCATAAGGGGAGAGAGAGAGAGAGAGAGAGAGAGAGAGAGAGAGAGAGGAGGTTGATGGATCAACGGACCCTGTCCAGGTGGTACTGCCCTTCGGTGACGGCGGCCGCTCCGGCGAGCTCCTACGAACAAGAACCTCTATCAGAAACCTTGACAATATCCAATGGAGCAGATCTTCAGACCGTTCCTTACCTTGTTCGCGGCCTCTGCCAGGAAGATGGTCAGGAGGACCGCCAGCAGGAGAAGAGCCAACCGGAGCGTAGCCATCGTAGAGCTAAGGGTAATGGGCGAAATGACCAGACGATCGACATAAATAGAGCACGCAGGAGGAGTCAGGGTCGTAATAAAGTATTCCAACGGCTTAGATCTCCGACTGGGGGGAGGAGAGAGAGAGCGAGAGAGAGAGAGAGAGAGAGAGACCTAGATGAGAATCCCCAGACCAAAGCCTTGACCAGATGGATGTCTCGATCCCCCGAAGAGAGAGGTCGGGATACGCAGGGAATTTGATGAGGAGACTACCCTCCATCAAGCTCTATTTTCTAGGAGACCGCGACGGCATTCCTTGCGTACAAAGAGCGAACGGGCGAGCGCGCGCGCTAGAGAGAGAAAGAGAGGATTCTCCGCATCAGACGCCGGTGCAGTTCCCTGGCTTTTTCCTCACATGCGTCGGTCAGACAAGCACATGTAAGGCAGACAGATAACGAAGATCTCTCTCTCTCTCTCTACAGAGAGATATAGATGTAAATGTCGTCCCCTGTCCTTGGAGATCTTTAATAGTTCGGCGTCCTCTAAAGTGAAGAGTAACGAGGGGTTTAGAGGGCCTTGTTGCGATCCAGATGGGTCATCCGGCAAGAAGAGGATGATCCCCCTCACATGATGAGAACAAGAAGGTGGGGGCCTCCACGTTTCTGAGAGTTGTTCATTCGAAAAAAGCACTATAGGAGTCGGTCTGCAGCTTCTCCCTCGTCCACATCCCCGCCCGCCATGTCGCTCTATTATGACTCCGAACGCACGCTGTAATTCCGCTCTTAAATGTATATCAATACGTCGATCTCTCTCTCTTTCTCTCGCTATATTTACACTCTATATCTAATACAGCTGCTGGCGGCTGCTGTTGATTTACAGTGCTCCTTTCTCTCTCTCTCTTTCCTTCTGCCCCCCCCCCCCCCGGGACTACTACACCAAAAAAACCGTTTTTGGTATATAACTTTTATTTTAATGCCAAACAAAGTTGCGAGTATTCTTTTTCGAGTTTCTGACGTCCCTGAGGTAATTTCCCATAAAGGCAACTAATAAATTTGGTAAAGCTGCAGCCAATCACATCACCTCGTTAGGTGTCATATCCTAAGTTACGGCCTACGAAACCTTCGTCATTTATCTATAATATTGTTTTACTCTGGGCCCGCTCCATATTCAAGAAAACAAAATTTAGTAGATGATAAAATATAAAAAAAACTCATTTCACTTCGCAAATTAGAAAGAGCACACACCTTGAGCCCTTCACCTAGGCTAGATTAAAGTTGGGCCGATTTGAAGCTCAGTACTGTTGATAGCTCCGAGCCCAGCTACGCATGAAATGGAACCCATTCGATTTACTGTTGGGCGAAAAGAAGTGGAGCCCATTTGGTGTGAGGCACCCGGTTTTTGCCCAAGAGTCGTTCTCACCGGCAGTTAAGGGCATCATGGGCTGGAGGACAGATTTATCCAACGAGTAAGGGCCTTTTACGGCCCAAGAGTGGATTTTCTTGGCAAAAACTCCTCTTACCGTGGGCATTTTCTTGGAAATTGTAGATCTACTTAATGATGCATAAGACAAAACTAAAAGAAATAAAGAAGAACAGATTGGGCTTCATAAAAAATAGGTCCACAAAGAAGTTTCATAAATTCATGGAAATAATGAATTGATAGTAAATACAGTATTACATTCAATTAAAATTAATTTCCGTATTATTATTATTCCTTTTGAGTGACTGAATAAAAAAGCCTTTTAGATCAAGAAATATGATGAGGAAAAAGTTGTCTAAACAACTCATTGATAGACAAAGTGCACATAAGATACATAAGATTTGTCATACATAAATTAGCTTATTTTAACTTTGTAATGGAATTTTAGCTGTGCACAAGGAACTTCAAACTAGAGAAAGATACTCTCCAAGGTTAACAATTGGATCTAAAATGGTAAAGATTAATAAGCTGAGAAAACTCTCCCACAAAATACTTGGAAATAGACATCCCTAAGGAAAATCATAACTTACCAAGAGACATTACATAGAAGATATAGCATTAAGAAGGTTCAAATATTTTTCTCTCTATTTCAATTATAGAATATAGTTTTTTTTTATCTTCTTTCATATTTATATATGCCTATACTTGAGAAGTATATATTCATTCTGAGAGTGTTTGATAGTGATATTGAACTTCCGTCTCATTAGGACTCATTATCTATCTCTCTTTCATCTCTTTTCTCTCCTATATAAGAGTCATATATTCTATCTTTTGAGACTATATAGATTTTAGGATTTTCCTCTCTTGTGTCAACATAATATTAGAGTTCTAGGTATCCATCATCGTCCTCCTCTTCTTTGATGCACCACTTGTCTCTAGCGCATTGCTCTCTTCCTCACTGGGCTCTTCCCTCTTTGAGCGGCTCTTTAGCATTGACGCTCTTCCTTCTTCCAACATCATCATCTTTGTCGTTGCTCTCCTTCTCCTTTTGGCATTGTTATCTCTACCATCGCTCTTTTTCTCCTTTTAGTGCCGCCCTCCTTGCCCTTGTCGCCCCTCGCTAGTGCCATTGCTCTCCTTCTCTTCTTCGACATTTGCACCGTTATTGTCGTCGTTGAGGCCCCTCCTCACCATTGTGCCCTCGCTATCGCACCATTATAGGGGCCATCATTCTTAGGTGCTGAGGGTGTCACCACTGCCGTCAAGGTTCCTCCTCACTATCATGCCCTTGTTATTGCTCCCTTATTGTCGCACCCTAGCCCTTGACGTCACCGCTAAGGGTGCTATCACCATCTAGTTGCAGCAGCTAGGGTTTCACTTGTCTCTCAACGAGTCGGCTGATAGTTTTCTTTTGGACCAGCCCACTGGGGACATGACCCAACCACACTTGCAGGCCTAGCATGGCCTAATCAGCCCAATCGGTCCTAGTCAACCCTAGCCGCCCCCAATCAGCTCTACCTGCTCCTCCAGATTGGCCTGTCAAGCCTTGACTTGCTCACCCCACCACCTATCCCTTGGGCTTGGACTTGTCAACATCATGGTGTTATTTTACCTCCCTTTGTCATTTGCCTCCAAGCCTTCTGAGCTTCTTTTAGTTAGTATTCTCTCATCTCTAATGATTCCTTCGGCTCACCACTCCATCACAGTTGACATGACCTAGTCATTGTATAGTAAATCATGTAAATTTAAAATTTATAAAACTAGAAAATATCAATTTTCTAATATTTAGAAATATTTCTAAACAAATATATTAATTATAATTTAATAAAAATTAAAAAAATAGTAAGAATTTTTTAAATTGAGCACAAGAATGTAATATAATATTGGATAATGTTTCAAAATTTTCCTAAAATAATAATTTTTTAAATAAATTTTACATTAAAAAATAAAAATAAAAAATATTTAAAATTCACAAAAAAGAAAATAAGAGTGCGGATGCCAAGATGACGTCAACATATGACGAATACAAATTGGACAAAAATAGAATTTCATCTGAAAATTCTTATGTAAGTGATTACATATGATTTAATTGATCAAATTAAGATTTATAAAAGTGAGAAAAATTGTAATTGAATGAAGAGTGATTTAGAAATTTTAAATCACAAAAATTATCATTAAATGAAGTGAAAATTAGGTTAAAAGTAAGAAAATAAAATTTTCATATCATGACGATGATGTGTCAATGATACACCAGAATCTAGAGTGTTTAAGAGGACTATTATACAATGTCTATAGCCTTGAAGGCTCTCCTTAAATAAAGACGATATGAGTAATCTTTAGTTCTTTTTGTTAAGGTTAAAGATTGATGAAATAGATTGTTGAATTATCTTTGACGACTGTCACCTAGTGGAACAAAAAAATAATGACTTTGCGACTCTTCGACAATTGTCACTTGATGAAAAAGAGTTGGATAGAAGGCGGGTGCATGTTAAAGAGCTTCATCCTCAAGTCTACATAATAAGTTGAGGCTTTTCATCGCATCTAATACGTTCTCAAGAGGTGGCGACTCGTCTCTTCATAGATTGTTCTCTTCCTGACGACAGCTTGTTCATCAATCAATTGAAGATCATTTACTTGATGGATTCATGATCCTTTTATCACAAATCATTTAATAATTTTAGTAACAATACTTTACAGATTACATTAACGAAATATTCATTGATGATCTAGTAATTTTGACGACTTAATCCTTCACTAGGGATCTACAAGAAAGTCACGATAATCAGATAAAAATATGAGTTTTGACTTTAAGAGGATTCAAACCCTCACTAATTACCTACCTATATGAGAGAGATTGAAATAAGTATTCTAATGTCCTTATAAAGTGACATCACCATGGTATATCTCTATTATAACTAAGGGGTAATTTAACTATTAAAATCTTTGAAGTCTTTTCAAGAAAGGTGTGATGCGAGTTTAATCTCACATCAGTTGTACGTCAAAGTTTCTAATATATAGTAATATCACATTTTCAAGTAATAAGTCTCTTTCTCCCACGTGTATGACCACTCTTTACTTCACAGTTTGTTGGCCATCGATGACGTGGAAGGAGAGTGATGTGCATGTGCCCCCATCAGTCTATAGTCATGAGCCTCTACTCACGACTTCGCCTTAATTACACTTCTAATTCACTTGTAGGCTTGGCTAACTAGCAGGTCCCCTCTTTTTATTATTTTTTTATTCTTTCTTTTTTTATTTAAAAAACAAGATTATAAAAATCATATAAAATCATATAAAATCACATAATTAACTAAAAATCACATTAATTAACTAAAAATTACTTTTCACATATTAAAAAAAATATAAATCTATTTATCATGAGTTAAAGCTAAAATTATATTATTTATTAATTATTAACTCATGATAATGAAGACTTATTACACCCTCTACTTAAATAATTGGTAATCTCTTAATAATATAATTACGAAAATAAAAATTCACAAATCTCAAAATATCATATTTCAATACATAAAAATGATGTCAAACATTTAAATGTTTGAGCACTCCTTGGAATAACAATATTGACTTCACTTCTTTTATTC